AAAAAAAAAAAAAAGTGATAATAAACATAACTGAAGGGACATTCATGTAGGAAGGAGCAATCAGGGAATGAAAAGCACACAAACACATAAAATACAAGTCCAAACTTCCAAAAGATCATGTAGAGATGTGTACCACAATGGAGTGCACAGCAGCTGGAATGTTTTGCTTCATTATTTGCAGAAACTGTAGCCCTCGTCTCCATGCAGGAACTTCCATGCTGCGTTCGGCAGGAGGAGATCCTTAGAACAAGCGAATATCCCAGGATCAACACCTTATACATTTATACTCTTATACTCGACTGAAACAAGAAATGGAACACATCTAGTCACTAAATATGTGTATCTGTGTAATGACTTTGGATTTGTCAGTAATTGAAGATCCTTCGCAATTAGAAGCAATCAAAACAGATATCCGGGTTTGCAACAAAAAGGGGTAACAAACAGAAAATTAACTTACCTAATTTCTTCCGAATCTATGTTCAAAATGTTTCCTGAAACTAGTTCATACTGATAGCGGCATTTCGAGCAGGAAACAAGCTGCAATTTTTGGCACACGTATTAATAGCAGAAATAACAATAAACAGCCACAATATGCGAAAAATAATGATGAACACGACATATCATGTAAATTTATTGTATTAACGAAACCTATAAGTCATAAAGAATTATGAATTACCAAATTAGTAAACCCTCTAAGGGGAAATGAAGAAATGGTAATTCACCAGCAGAAACTATACTCAATATTGGAGATTGAGTCATGAAACTTCTTTTGATAATGGATGCCCAACTTTATGTTACACCAATCAGTACTAAATAAAGAAGCACTTCCAATAATTATTTGACATATTGAACAAGTAAGCTTCTTCAATAAATCCCATCTGTAAGATAAGATTGGAGTCTTGATCTGGCCACTATATTTATTGTTTAACGCGTTCCAGCATCTTAAAGAATTATGTGCCAACGAGTGAGACTGAGTGCACATGCCTGAACGCCTTGTTGTGGTTGAGCAACAGCAACAGCTATCATACAACTAGGGCATCTCACAACCTTACCGAAAGGTACCTGCAAAACAGCACTTAATTCTTAGTTGGTAACTTGGTATGAATAAAACAAGAATTTTGGGTATAACATTTCCTTTTATCATTAGAACAGTGCATCACACTCAGTAAGATAGCAAGATAAAATCTACACATTAATCAGAAAACGAGAACCAAAACACCCACACACAAACACACATTTATATATTTAATAAAATTTTGTTCAGGAACAAAGGTCAAATGAGAAAATGATTGCAAATTATCTATAAGTTGTAAAACAAGTGTCATTCGAGAGAAAATGTTGGCTAAAAACAACGTGTTCTCTGTATCACCAAATTATAATGTCAAAAACATTTTCGAAAAAGAAAAGAAAAACTTAAAACATATCTACATCAATGCTTACGCGTACTCAATGGCTTCTTAATTGCTCCGGGAGTCATAAGGACGCAAAAAACAGAAGAGACATATACTATAAAGGTTTTAAAGCGTGGATACGAAATAAGAAAAGCAAAAGCATGTATATAAACTACTGAGTAGGTTCATTTTAACGTTCCTTTTAACAAAACCATAAAAATTATCAAACTCCATTGCAATTCAGTTGTCAGAGAGCATGTAGAAAGTGCCACAGTTACAATTGGACAATAATCACATTCGCATACTTAAATCATATAGAGACTACCTCTTCACCAGGAGACACTCCCACTCGGCAAACACAGTCAATCACTCTAAGGGCATCTGAAACCCTTAATGACGCTGCAAGCCCCTTGGCTAATAATGTATAGGTATGTGAATCAGGTCTTGACCACTTCCATTTCTCATCGGAAGTTGAATTCTCACCCCACCCTGGGCTTTCAGAGAAAGGGCCAATTCCAAGAGACAAGAAATGTAAGGTCAAAGAAAAAATAACAAAGGATAAATAAAGAAAAGAAGAGCATTCCTAAATGTTTGAGTTGACGAATTTAAATTATGTGAAACCCAAACCAAAGAAAAAAAATTGTCAACAACACATAAAAAGATAAATTCCACTGTGTTATCTTCCCGGGGGGAAATAAACGGTTATTCTATGATTAATAGCATTGTCATCTGCCATCTACTTGAATGCATAGCTGTTGTGGAAGTGATTCCGAACTCCAAAATGTAAAAATAGAAAAAAATCTCACATCAAAAGGTTAAGAGAACACACTCTACTATGATTCCCAAATATGAAATATCCTTTCAACACCGGAACTTCACATTTATTCAAACGTGGATCAAGAAAGGCATATAACCAAGACATTTGGCCGCAAACGAAACATCTAAAAGACCATACAACAAAACAGTCATTAACAATTTATTGAAAATAACAGCAATTTATTAATGACCCCTCATTCTATCAATTCCAACAACAAGATCGTTGCTTACACCAAGTTCACGGAAAAGGCTAAACCCGAAACACCGTCAAATAGAATTCGTATTCGATGTAACTTCAAAAACTCCACATCCAACGAAAATGTAATAATGTGAGGAAAAAGAATCCCAAACGCACCAGAGTCAAAGCTCGCGCGCATAGCGGCGAACACGGAGAGTGCCAGCTCAGCGCTGCCACGATCAAGCGCCGCCGAGATAATCAAACGACAGTCAGAAACACTCACGAAGCCGCCACCTCGCCGCTCCTCCGCAATGAGAAGCAGCGCCTCGGCCGCATCTCCGGCTGTCGAAACCCGACCCAGTAGCTCTTCATCGAGAAGCTCCGACGCTCTAAACCCCCCTCCGTCGGTCGGCTTGGAGACCTGATTCTGAGCAGAGGCAGCGAGGTTCCAGGAAGGCGGAGGTGCTGTGCGGTGGGTGGTGCTCTTGGCGGGAAGGAGGAAGCAGAATGGGGTGTGTTTGAGGGAGGAATGAATAGGGAGAAGGGGAAGTGAAGGGGAGGAGAAGCAACAGTACAAGTGAAGAATCATGTGTGTGTGCTGTGTTGTTGTTGATTGGAGCTTTTTTTCAGAAAAAATTGAAGGATGGTGCAGAGAGAGAGAGTGAAGAAATAGATAGAGTGAAGGATGAGGAAAATGAGTGGCTGTGACGAATGAACTGGCAAACGGAAAAAAAAAAAAAAAAAAAAAAAGAAATGGAGGTGCGGGGAATCGAACCCCGTGCCTCTCGCATGCGAAGCGAGCGCTCTACCATATGAGCTACACCCCCGTTACGAACATGAGCAAGCTGTCTTTGAATGAACATCAGAAACAATTCATTCGTTGTTGAACTGGTTAATAAATGACCGACCAATACATGTACATGTTTTGGGATGAAACAAATCATTCGTATTAGTGTTGAGTTGATTTTTTTTAGCATAATTTAATTATATAATTGAGATAGTTTAATGTGTCGACCTTCCAAAATCAAAGTTCCATTTAAAAAAAAAAAAAAGAAGTGCAAGAGGCTGGACATTATTATCTTCAATGAATTTTCTGAGTATGTTTCTTCACCAGAATACCTTTTGCTAACTTCTGTTTTTCATTAAAAAAAAAATAAAAAAATGAAGTTTCATACTTCTGCTACATACAAGAAGCTCTAGAAATTGCTTAATTGACCATCAAATAAATAGGCCTCATTAGATCAATTCTACCAACAAACCGTGATACTGTAACAGTGAAAAATGTGGAAGTATTCATACAAACAAGCTCATCCCCAACAAGTATTAGAAAAGTAAGTTGTTCAACGACCTGTAACAGAATGAAAATTGTTCGTTTGAGTGGCAGAGTAAAATAGAAATTTGATAGTACATTATTGTAGCAGTTGAAGTATTGAGCTCAGCTGGTAAAAATCACTTGCCTAGAGAAAGCATATTATTTTGGATTGTTTTTGCTTTCACTAGTGAATCAATTGGCCTAGTTGAAGGGTAACATGATGAAAAACCGGATAACGTGATTAATACGTAGATCAGTTGACACCATAGATCCACTTCTCAGCATTGTGTGTGTAATTAACCAACTCTTCTGGTTTGAACCATAGGTTGATTTCGTCCTTGGCAGTCTCGGGACCATCACTACCGTGAATTATATTTCTGAAACATCCAGAAAAATGCTATTAGGACAACATGATGCTAGTAAAAAGGAAGTTGTATCTAGGACACATAATATCAAGCTAAATTTGGTAGAGATGCTGGTAGTGTTTGCAAACAGAAACCATTTTTGAAAAAAAAAAAAAAAAAGATTAAAAAAAGAAAAGGAAAGAAAGAAAAAAACTCGAAGTTCTACTTCTACTCAAGGGGGAAAAAAGAAGTGATTTCAGAATGAGCTCTTGGATAGAGAACAAAAGCACTCGTCTGAAGACTACCACAAATAAGCCGAACGAAACTAAGAATGCGCATATGAATGTTAAAAACAACTTTTCTTCACTGTTCTTTTAGAACCATAACAGAACTACTCTCGTCTGAAGCACCCACCCAAATTTTCAGATTTCGGTTAAATGAAACAGAAGCAAAAGCATAATTCAGCAACCATAAACACTAAAAAGGATTTTTTTTTTTTTTTTTTTCTTCTGTTTTTGTTACCTATGAAAAGCTGAGAATTACTTCTTTTCTTTCTATAAGTGTGAAATACACTCCCAATATCTGAATATGAATATTGTACGACAAAGAATTTAGTTGCAACTTGCAACAATTATGAATACCTTCCAACCACAACAGCTAAATCTCCTCTTATGGTCCCAGGTTCTGATTTCTGTGGATCTGTTGCGCCAATGAGCTTACGGCCATACTTAATCACTCCTTCACCTTCCCAGACCTAAAGGAGTGGACAAAAAGATCCATCATGTTCAAATAAAGATTAAATCTTTGAATAGAAAAAGCAGATTGGAGCTGAGCAATTCTAACCATGGCAAGGACTGGTCCAGAGCTAAGGAAATCACACAGCCCATTAAAGAAAGGTCTTTCCTTGAGGTCATGGTAATGCTTCTCAGCAAAGTCCTTTGAAGGGATCACAATCTTGATTGCCACAAGCTTAAAACCTTTTCTTTCAAACCGAGCAATAATTTCTGAAATCTGAGCCAAGAGAGAATTTGTCAAAATGCAGGCAAACATGCATCAGGGTCGATAAGTCTCTTTTAAGATAAAAGACAGTCTTGGAAGCATAGATTTTCATTATCCTTTTCCTTTATATAGACATTATGAGAAGGGAGAAAGTATGATCATATATACCAATCCTCTTTGCACTCCATCTGGCTTGATGGCAATAAAAGTCCTCTCCATCTATAGAAGAACGAGCATAGAATCAGCAAACGGAGTGGGATGAACAACTAATTAGAGACAAAACAAATGGAATAAGACAAAGCCACAGAGGAATAGAGATATATATGTGTACCTCAGCAGCATATCCTTCTTGTTCTTTAAGCATGAAAGCTGTTAAACAAATGGACGGAAACAAAAATAATGAGAACTGGTCATTAAAAATGCTAAGATTTATTTTCCAAAACTTTGGGGCTCAAAGGTCAAAAGATGAAAAGAATCGAATAGAAAATCTAACGTGGACAACAAATAAATTTTACATTATGCAAAAGAAGGTTAAGAAAAGATTCACGATAAGAGCAGCTGAGGGAGGTAACAAAAGGAGGTTAACTCATTGTTGTTCATCTAGAACGTAGTTTGTAAGAAAATTGATTTCCCGGTGTGGGTGTATGGAAGCATGTAATTCTTACAATTTTGCAGGGAAATAGCCTGCTTTTCTTTCGGGACGTAGTAATTAGCATATAGCATTGATTCAACCATTGGCATGGATGCAAATGGAACTCCAATTAAATGTTTCTTAACAACTTAAATAACAGATTCACTTGAATAGAGTGAGTTATGCAGTATAACAGAAAGAAAAATGGCACAGTTTATTTTTCTCACTACATGTACCAAATACACAGGGAAGGAAATCATTCGGCCATTGTTAACAGGGAAAAGCGTGTATTTTCAGAACCTGCTGCTGGAAGGGCAAGAGCACTAGAGATCCAGCCCGCATATACATTTCCTGATTCGTATGCACCAATCGAAGCTAGTGACGTCACTCTCCCTCGGTATGAAACTGCTGCAGCTGCAGCTGCAGATCGACCTCCTGGAAGAGAAAAAAACACACTTTTTTTATTTAGATCGAGTAACCACAAACACATAAACCAATCCGTAATTTGTTAACGATTCATGATAATATTCGTCCGTTGAATTTCCAAAATCGGATTCCATAAATATGCAGAAAAAGGAAGATAAACCATAGTATCAGCTGAAGAAAAAGTTGAACAACAATAAAGCAACTCACTTTCGTTTCAAAAGTTTCATTTGATGAATCTATTAAGCTTCTACCATAGATGTAATAATGTGCGAAATTATAGCAACAACCGACATTTCACAGTTAACACGAATTAGATTCAAACACAAAGGTAATTAATTAATTAATTAATTAACGAATCAATGTACTGCAATAAACATGCCTGAAAAATATGAGCTTTAACATTAAAAACTGAATTATTTCCGTTTTCGATCATAGAAGAATGAATTTTTTTACCTGAAAATGATCGAGACGCTTGCTTTGAAGCAGCAGAAACAAAAGATCTTGCAGATCTGAGAACCTGAGACCTCATTTTCAAGGGATGAATATCGTCGAACTGTAGAAGAGCTTCGAGTGTGTGACGATAATGGAGTGAGGGTGTGAACAGCGAGGTGATTTGCCTTTTATATGCCTATTCGAGTGGTGCCCCTTTACTTTAGTAGCTGCAGATGCACGCCTTACGAGGAGTGGTTAGATGTTCGGTAGGTATAGATTGGTAAAAGCAGAACTAATAATTCTAACCGATTTTTTTTAAAAATAAAAAAATAAAAAAGGCTGTGCAATTAGATATATTTTGGTTTGGGAAATGTTTTTAATTTGAGAGAAGAGAGTTCATATAGAAATTATTTTATAATATTGAATTATGCAGAATTACGGAAGGTGGCTGTAGAAGTACTTGGTGTGAGTAGGGGAGGCAAGCAGGATGCGAAAGACACTTGGTGGTGGAATGACGAGGGGCAAAGGGCTATTCAAGAGAAGAAAGAGTGTTTCAAGCGTCTCCACCTCGACAAGAGTGCAACCAACATTGAGAGCTATAAAATAGCGAGAAGGGCTGCAAAACGTGCCGTGAGTGTAGCGAAGGGTCAGGCCTATGATGACCTTTATCAGCGCCTAGGCACGAAGGAGGGGGAGAAGGACATTTATAAGATAGCTAGGATTTGGGAGAGGAAGACAAGGGACATCAACCAAATCAAATACATCAAGGATGAGTCGGATCGACCACTGGTGAAGGATGGGGAGATCAAGGACAGATGGCGAGAGTACTTCGACAAATTGTTTAATGGGGAGAGTGAGGGTCCTACCCTGGAGTTGGTTGACTCATTTGAGGATACCAATAGATGCTTGGTGAGGACAATCCGAGAGGCAGAGATCGGAGAGGCTATGAAGAGGATGAAGGGAGGTAAAGCAATAGGCCCTGATGGTATTCCTATTGAGGTGTGGCGATGTTTGGGCGCCAGAGCGTTAGTATGGTTAACTAAACTTTTTAACCTCATCTTTCGGTCAAACAAGATGCCTGATGAATGGAGGAGAAGTACTTTAGTACCGATCTTCAAGAACAAGGGTGATGTTCAAAGCTGTGGTAACTACCGTGGGATTAAGTTGATGAGCCATACGACGAAGCTCTGGGAGAGGGTTATCGAGCATCGCCTACGACGAGTGACGAGTGTGACCCAAAACCAATTTGGGTTTATGCCTGGAAGGTCGACCATGGAGGCGATTTTCCTAATACGACAGTTGATGGAGAGATATAGAGACCAAAAGAAGGACTTGCACATGGTCTTTATCGACCTTGAGAAGGCTTATGACAGAGTACCGAGGAATGTCATGTGGTGGGCCTTAGAAAAGCACAAAGTCCCATCTAAGTATATTACCCTCATCAAGGATATGTACAAGGATGCGATGACGTGTGTTCGAACATGTGGGGGCGATACGGGACTTCCCAATTAAAATAGGACTACACCAGGGGTCAGCATTGAGCCCTTATTTATTTGCCTTGGTGATGGATGAGGTCACAAGGGACATACAAGGTGATCTCCCTTGGTGTATGCTCTTTGCTGATGATGTGGTGCTAGTTGACGAGAGTAGGGCCGGGGTAAATAGGAAGTTAGAGCTGTGGAAGGACACGTTAGAGTCGAAAGGCTTCAGACTTAGTAGGACGAAGACCGAGTACATGACGTGCGCTTTCATCATGGCTACTCATGTTGATGGTGATGTTAGCCTTGACGGGCAAGTGGTGGCCAAGAAGGAGACTTTCCGGTATTTAGGATCGATGCTACAAAAGGATAGCGGCATTGATGAAGATGTTAGGCATAGAATTGCAGCCGGTTGGTTGAAATGACGTCAAGCTTCGGGCGTTCTCTGTGATAAGAGGGTGCCACAAAAGCTAAAAGGTAAGTTCTATAGGAAGGCGATTCGCCCGGCGATGCATATGGTGCTGAATGTTGGCCTACAAAAAGGCAACATGTCCAACAACTAAGTGTAGCAGAGATGCGGATGTTGCGTTGGTTTTGCGGGCACACAAGAAGAGATAGAATCCGAAATGAGGATATTCGTGATAGGGTCGGGGTGACCCCATTTGAGGAGAAATTGGTTCAACATCGGCTGAGGTGGTTCGGACATGTCCAACAGAGGCCTCTTGATGCACCGGTGCGCAGGGGAGTTCTACAGCGAGTCGATGTTGTTAAGAGAGGTAAAGGTCGGCCTAAACTCACTTAGGGAAGAGTCGGTTCAGAGAGACCTTAAAGATTGGAATATCTCCAAGGATTTAGCGGTGGATAGGAGCGCTTGGAGACTAGCGATCAACGTGCCGGAACCGTGACTTTTGCTCCTTTCTCTTTTGCTCCAATCTTCTTTTTTTTTTTTTTTTTTTACTTCTGTTTCTATTGGGTTTCATCTCTAGCCTACCCCAACTTGTTTGGGACTAAAAGGCTTTGTTGTTGTTGTTGTTGTTGAATTATGCAGTATGAAAATAATAAACTAATTGAATATGTAAATAGTAATATGTATAGAAATGTGGTATGTAAAAGACCTTCGACCGGCTTGGTTCAAGCTGATCTGCCTACTCGCCGGTTGATGACCTTCGATGCTTACACAAACTCAACGCTGGAGGAACTTCCGGCGTAAAGCTTGCGATGCCTAATTTGGAACATACAATGAAGATGATGAACACTAACTATGTGAGCTTTATGAATAGGGGTGAGCAAAACCATGCAATTCGGTGCAGTTCGGTTCGGTTTTCTTATGTAAAAAAATTTGGTTCAGTTTCGGTTCAGTTTTTTTTTATATATATTGTGGTGCGATGCGGTTATTGTTTTCCATAAGTTCGGTTATCGGTTTTGTTCGATTCGGAGCGGTTTGCACGGAGTCGCACAAATTAAATAAAATGTATAGAAAAACCGAGAAAAAAAATAAAAATTGATTTCTGTGCGGTTCGTTTATTTTAGTGCCAAAAAAAAAAAAAAATCAATTCGGTTTCGATTTAGTTTTTTCTAAGTTTCGGTTCGGTTGGTTTGATTATTTTTTTTGCTATGTTCGGTTTTCGATTTTCTACGGTTCGGTGCGGTTTTTTCACCGAACTACATCGTTGGTCACCCCTATTTATGAGAGTGTAAGTTCTAGTGGGCATATTTCACTCATTTATATAGAAAGATGTTATCTTGTTGTCCAAGACTGTCCGAGTGAACTTCCCAGATTTCCCGAACTGCCGAATTCTAATAGACAACGTGGCCCTACCCACGTGTGGCTTGGTTTGGTTGGTGTAGTGGCATGAACAAGTTTTGTTCTTAGTTTTTGTTTCTGATTTGAGTTTAGGGCACATGATGTTGTGACCCTCTGATTGAACAAAATAATAATAATGATGTTAAGAACTATATCTGATACATTTTCGAACCCATCGAGGAATTGTCCCCGGAATCAAAGGCTGTTCTATCCAGCTGAAATACCTATTTCGATCTACACCCTAAGCCATTCAATAGGGTGAGGTAAAATTCATGTTCAATCAAGTTTCAATAATACCATTGTCACGGTTACCTCAACATCAAACAATTCTCCCAAAGGGCCAGGGGTATGATCGCCTATGCACAAGATACAAATGATGTTAAGAACTATTGTTCACTCTAAACAAATCGTGATTACACTTCAAATCAAGACATATATGTACAGGTGATTTGTGATGCAATTGAATAGATTCACATCTTCTCTGGTTCCTTTGGGTCTTCAGATCGCGATGCCAACTTACAATCAATCCTTAGTGCTGCCAACCATGAATCGATCTGAACACATGAAATCCAAGATGTTGAATTCCATGTATGCCAGATTTTGGTATACTTATGAAAACAGGGCATTTACAGTTTTTGATTTCCATGTATGAGAAACAAATAAAGCTAAGTGTTTTCAAAATTTATATCTAAAACTCATTCTCTAAATCAAATTCTGCTCTCTGTAAGGCTTTCACAAGCAAATAAAGCTTACTGTTTTCAAATTTTACATTTAAAACTCTGTTCCTAATTCTAATTCTGCCATCTGTAGGCCTTTCACAAGCAAACAAGCACTTCTATGACATATTTACCAAACAATACCAATTGATTAATTCAGCTTCTTTCTAGTTCCGCACACTGTGAATCTCCGACTCTCCCAATTCTCGCGTATATTACAAGTAATCACTTGTTCTAAATTCAGAAGTTTTCCTAAACACTCATTTGATACAAATGCCACTTTCACATAAATCTTTTCATACAACTCTTTCGCATTAACGAAACTTTACATAAACACAAATTCGTGTGTGCGGCAGTCAAAAGGTTAAGCGGGTCGTCCCATCATACTATGTGAATAAAAATGCATATTTTCACTACCAAATGTCATACGTCTGTTTATGTTGTATTTCAAAAGTATGACATTTTCTAATGAAAGTATGCATATTTATGAAAGAAATATGTCGGCCTAAAGAATTATAGGTTCTCTGGTTCATGAGACGAATTTGCATACCTGTATCTTAGATGGACTTGAGCATTCATATCGCAAGCCATGACATGTTAAGATATAAAAGCAGTATCGGGTCTCGTCGTCTTCCCGTGTTAGGCAAGGGAGGGCCCCAACTTCAACAACATCAGATAGGAGGGTCGAGTCCTGGGGGCTTAAATCTGCAACACAGATTTTTATAAACAATAGATATTAGATTAAAAATTGAATAAGAAGATCCCAAGGTACATGGTAGTCATCATCACTACGAAACTTCATTCGAATTGCAATGCTTAAATAATTTTCTTTTTTCTTTTTTTTTTTAAATGGATAATTTAATCGTAAACAATGAGATTTAATACAAGCAAGATAGAAAGGAGGAGAAAATTATGACATATTTAACCAAGAAATTTTGACCCTGGCCAAAGAAGCGATAGAACCAGGTTACTTGATTCCTGATTGTGAAACGTTTTTAACCTTTCTCATAAAAAGCGTTTCTTCACATACATATATCAGAACGCGAGCACCACAATGCCTTTTAAAACAGTGTATAGAATTCATTCGGGAAAAGTACATATAAAGTCAAACACCACCATTCATTCTCATCAACTGAAAAATTGTGCAGAAGAACTAGAAACGAAGGGGGCTCGTTTCACAATTATTTTCAATCAAGTGAAAAGGCCAAAAGCATAATTACAGCAAGCTTTAAAAACATGAAATGTGCAGTTTCGGATAAACCAGAGGTCAGAAAGAAATCAATTTACCAGTGGCTATCATGTACAGATAGATGCATGACCCATGAAGGACAACAAAGCGTGGAAGCCAATCGTCAACTTCGGTATCGTCTATCGGTGGAGGTTCTCCCGGTAATGCTGCCCATCTCTATTGGATATAAAAGAAAAAGTGGGGAAAAGAGTAAATAAAGCAAAGAGAATATTGCGACAAATCACAGAAGGAAGAATATATATAAGAAAGGTCACTATAACCGTTCGCAAGAACAGATATCCAGATAGACGAGCAGATCTTAATACTTCATCAACATGTTCTAGCCTGTACACAGGAGAAAAGAAAAGATCTCAAGTTGGATAAGGGTTTTGTAGATTTATGATAAGGTCAAGCAGAAAGATGAGGAAGCACTTCATATTTTATGATATACAAATGCACATGTACGCAAAATAATAAGAGCAATTGCTGCTATTTTTTTTTTTTTTTTTCCCGAAAGGATACATGAGTTACTCAGCCTCATGTTTCAATCACTGATCAAATCCAATTATTATTTCCTTAAGGCAACATCACATAAGATAATTACAACATATTTTTATCATGAGTAGGCTATTCACCTCTCCCTTATTCTCCCAATCACCACTTACATCATATCAACAATCACCAATACATTCTAATCCCATATCCAGTCACTCTCTACAAAACCAAACAACCATTTTCAAACCATTTTTCCAAAATAAAAATTGAGAGGAAAGACCACAGATGCAAGCCCTAGACAAGTTCTTTTGCGAAGGTTTGATAGTGTTATACAGAAAATATAGATTAAACTTTCCAGTAACTGAATTGAATCAAGACAATCAAGTTCACCCTGTAGGATATAGACGCAAGCATGCAAATATAATTTGTTAATGTAAACATGGTATAGATTAGATGTATCAATTAGGTGATTTGGTAAATCCCGTAGATTAGGTCGTTTGATTTCTTTCCTTTCTTTCATCTCTTTGGCTTGTATAT